AGAAGAGCCTAATGCTGGGAACGGTTGATGGCAATAGAAGAAGGGGACGACAGAGAATGAGGTGACTGGATGGAGTCACTGAAGCAGTAGGCATGGATTCCAGAAGATGGTAGAGGACAGGAAAGTCTGGAGAAATGTTGTCCAGGGGGTTGTGATGGGTCAGATGAGATTTTGCAACTAACAACAACAAAAAGACCTGGCTATGTACATGAGCCTGGAATCCCGAAACTGTTAGGGGCTTCGGTACCTGTTGCAGTGTTTATTTTTTATATTATTGAGCTAATTCTCAATTGCCTATATATATAATTTGTAACTTTTTGTGTGTTTATGGTTTTAATTGTTTTGATATTGTTCGCTGTCCAAAGTCAATGGATTGCGATGAATAAATGTATACCTGAAATAAGCCTGTTGTCACGCAGCTGCTATGGGTACCAACTGCCCACAATCAATATGCCAAAAAAAGAGGCCTGTTGCTCTTTCCTTCTCCCCACTCCCATGTTGTCTCCCAGTATGTAGGATCCAAAAAATATCCCAGTATTTTGCTTTATTTTCTCTTCATTGCACTGTAAATAAAATTAAGCGAATTCTTCAATGCATTACACTACCTTATTCAGTCTAGTGTATTTTCTATTACAATATGGTGTGTAACCTCCTGAAACTAATTTTTAAGACTTACTCACTTACTCAGTATATTTATTGTACCTATGGGATTACGGCAGGGGTGGGATTCAGTTTTCTTAACAACCGGTTATGTGGGTGTGGCTTGGTTGGTGAGTGTGGCTTGGTGGTCATGTGACTGGGTGGGCATGGCCAACTCGACATCACTCATGTCAAGGGGCACTTCTCCTCGCCTGGCCTCTCATGACAGTGGGATGCTGCAACGGTCATAAGTGTGAAAAATGGTCATAAGTCACTTTTTTCAGTGCCATTGTAACTTTGAATGGTCACTAAATGAACTGTTGTAAGTCAAGGATTACCTGTACAAAAATACAAAAAGCTTCTTTGCTTGCAAAAAGCTGCCCTAAATACCAATCATTAGATTAAAAATACAAAATAGTTAAAATGCAGTGATAACTATCAAGCAGCCATCTCTTGCTCATAAAGTGAAACCCTTCAGCAGAGAGGTCATTTAAGCTCTCCAGAAAAAGCACACCCAGGAAAAGCAATCCTTAGATCCATTTGCACCACTTAAAGATACCAGCTGTTCTCATTCACCTCACGAGATATCCTAAGGAAATCATCCAGATTTAAGGAAAGGTCACATGCTCCCCAGAAATGCAGTAAAAAAAAAAATCAGTGCCAAGCTTGCATCCTGCCTCTTGGAAGTACACCCCAAAAGGACAGTACCAGATACCACTAAAGCAGTGAAGGAACACCCCCTCCCCAGATAAAAAAAGAAACCATGAGGCAGGAAAAAATTCAAACACAATAAAAATAATTAAATCACAACAGTAGCTGTTGCTTCTTGAAGCTGAATAGGGGAAATTATCCCATTAATAAACACAGGATTAAACATCACCAAGCACAGAATTAACCTTCATCAAAAACCAGTTTTAGACCAAAACTCAGAAAGGGTATGTAAACTCACGTTTGAATGTCAATCTTTCTCGCTAGCCAAGAAGCCTTGCTGAATGTCACTCATCTTGGTTCCCTATCACTAAAAGCTTTGCTTCATTATTCAGTTATTCAAAGTGCTGATTGTCCAGGGAAATATTTCCTCCCAACAGCAGTGTAAAAATCTTAAAACAACCCTTCCCTTTAAGAAAGCGAAGCCTCAGAAGCTCCGGAGACAGGAAGTCTAGGCGTTCTGGCAAGAATGTAATAAAGGGTGGAAAAAACCAAAAGGGGATTGCTTCTAACTACCGGTTCTCTGAACTGCTTAGAAAGTTAACAAAGAGTTCTATAGAACTGGTCAGAACCGGTAGAATCCCACCCCTGGATTACGGTGTGTGTATGTGTAGATAGATAGATAGATAGATAGATAGATAGATAGATAGATAGATAGATAGATAGATAGATAGATAGATAGATAGATAGATATCTGTATGGATATATTTAATATTTAATTTCATATTGATTTATTTTATTTTTATTGATAATTTGAATGTTAAAAACTAACAATACATTAATGTATTCTTTTTCAAATGTAGTTTTAAGTTTCCATTTCTTTTGTATTTTAGATTTTCAGGTAAAAATCCCAGGAATTTAGGTAACAATACAAAACTTATAGAGTGGTTACCACAAAATGATTTATTAGGTAAGTATTGTAGGAAGTTATCATTTAAAATTAATCTCTTGTGCCTTATTTGTTTTTTTAATACTAGACTTACAGGTAGCCCTTGATGTACGATTACAATTGAACCCCAAATTTCTGTTGCAAAGCAAGAGAGTTGTTAAGTGAGTTCTGCCCATTTTATTACCTTTCTTGCCACAGTTGTTAAATGAATCACTGCATTGGTCAAGTTAGTAACACATTTAAGGGAATCTGGCTTCCCCACTGACTTTGCTTGTCAGAAGATCACAAAAGAGGATTACATGATCCCAGGACACTGCAGCTGACATACATATAAACCAGTTGTCAGGCATTCGGATTTTGATCATATGACCCTAGGAATGCTACAACGGTCGTAAATGTGAAAAGTGGCCATAAGTCACTTTTTTCAGTGCCATTGTAACTTTGAACAGTCATTAAATGGTTGTAAGGCAAGGACTACCTGTATTTGTAATCTATATCTGTATAGGAACATTGTTAACATGGATAATTAGATAGTGGAACAGTTTTTTTGTATCAAGATCCACATTCCCTCAGAGGTAATGTGTGAGGCATATGGAAATGAGATCACGAATGTCTTGAGCAGGTTGTTACAGACTAAACTATACTACTTAGTAATAAACACAAATTACATGTGAAATACTGTATCAATTGAACATTCATAAGACCTATAGATTTATATGTGGTATATTCATACTGAAGTACAGGTAGTCTTTATTTAGAACAGCCTGAGATAGTGAACTGTTTGCAAATTTGACAGCAACAAGGGGATCATTTTCTGACCAATGCACATATTTACAACAACAATAGCCTTCAGTGTAAAACCGATTAAGAGCTAGTCAATTTCCCAGCAGCAGCATGAGTTTTCTAATCAACTAATTAAGAACACAGAGTATAGCTTGGTTAAGCAATCTCCACCTTGGGAGAGTGCAAAGAAAGGGTCAGGCACAAGACATTGTATGAGAAAACTTTGTCTGAATAAAATGGCAACAATCAGCAATTTTTCAGCTTCTCTCCCTCTCTAAATTACACGATTCTCTTAGAAACTATGAGATTTAGTGACCTTTGTGCCAGAATTAACTGCAATCACTGAATGAGAACTGCCTGCATAATAGGAGAACTATCTATTCTCTACGCTGCTACGAGAGTCCAGGAATGGGTAAGGTTCTTCCCTCTTATATCATTGAGCTGAGTCTGCCAAAGGTATAAAAAGCCAGTCCCTACTGCTGGCCCCCAGCTTTTTGACTCAGCTCCTTGATCGTCAAGAGCAATGTGTCTGGAGCTCTGCTAGTATGCACAGCAGCAAACCCAAAATTGAAAGGAGAAAGGAAAAGAAATAACAACAGCACAGCTCCCGGGGACCCGGTGGAGCTGTACCATCAAGGAGAGCGGGGATCCACTTTCCTTCAGCATCAAGACTTTGGCGCTGGGGCTCTGGCCCAAAAAAACTGTGGGTAGTGGCTGGGAGCGTCGGCAGAAGCCTCCCATGCAGTTTCTCTTTGGTGCACAGCTGACATTCGGAGCTCTAGTTTCAGCACCTCTCAGCTGTGCGATTTAATCAGTAGTTCTGCTGGGCTCGTAGAGCGTTTTTCATGATGATTTCAGTCAGCCTCAGAACATGTGGCAGTCGGCCATTTTAAATCAGGCCTCAGAGTAGCGCTGCTTCTTCGGGCCTCATAGTGGGGAGCCTGTTCACCTGGCCCACACATTAAGGGGACACACTACAGGGGAAGCTTGCAGTGCCTCTAGTGTCAATCCTAGAGAGCAATCTGGCCCAATCTAAACAACTGGGCCCATTGCTCTGAGGTTTCCATGAGGCCATTAAAGAGGAGAAGACATCGAGGCCATTCTGCTAAATGGGAAGCTACAGCTAAGATTAGAGCCAAGGCCTTTGCACCTAAGAAGGCCTTGAAATCCAAACTCAGGGCTGAAGAAAGAAGGCATGCTGCCTTAGAGAAGCAATTTGCCAAGAACCTGGAGCAGATGAGAGGGAAGAGCCAACCATTGCTTCAATCAGGGGATTTACAGGCTGGCCCAGAGGCTGTTTCTAGAGCTGGAGAGGCAGAAACAAGTTCTACAAGTCATCTGCAGGCATAATCCCCAGAGAGAGCAGATGAGGCTTTTTTCATTCAAGACTTCCAGTGAATCAACAGGGGCTAGGATTCTGTTCCCGGCTCTTTGTGATCCCAAAGGCCTTGGGGTGGTGGAGATCAATTCTCTACCTGAAGTCCTTGAACAAGTTCATTGCCTACAGGCGTTTCAAGATGCAGTCCCTCCACACTATTCTGGAGAGCGTTCGGGAGGGCAACCTCTCTTCCATAGACCTCATGGAGGCATACCTCCATGTCCCAATCTGGCCTCCTCATTGCCAGTTCCTTCGATTTTGCTACAACAATAAGCACTAACCAATACTGGGCCTTCCATTGGCCTTTCATTGGCCCCCAGGCTCTTTACCAAGATTCTGGCAGCATTGGCGGTGTTCCTTCACGTCCTACCTGTTAGGGTCCTATGTTACCTAGATGATATCCTGATTCAGTTATCTTTTACCCACTCCGCCAAACACGACCTTCAGACCATGATGCCGCTCCTGCAGGAACTTGGGTTTTCCATAAACTTCAACAAGAGTCATCTTCTACTGACTACCCATCTCCTACACCGAGGGGCGATCATCGACATGACTCTCTGCAAGGTTTTCCTTTCCCCGGATAGCCAAGAGAATCTGAACAACTTGATAAACTGGATTCAACAGCAGCACACAGTTCCCCTGTCTCTTCCATCACAACTCCTAGGAAAGATTATTTCCTGTATCGGTATTGTGCCGTGCCCGAACTCTGCAATGGTTCCTGCTGCTTTTTCAACAGGCGGGAACCAGCCACTATTCCATCAGAGTCCAAGTTCCTCCACAGGTCCTCCGTTCTTTCCAGTGATGGCAGTCCCAGGCCAGCAGGAAAGGCCATTTTTTCAAGGAACAAGACAGGATCATGATCATGACAGATGGCAATCTTTATGGCTGGGAGGCACATCTGCAAAGCGAGATAGCTCAGGGTCATTGGTCCCAGACAGACAGGTCTAGCCTCATCAATTGGCTCGAACTCAAGGCTATCTTCCTGGCTTTGAGACACTTCCAGGACAAGATGACAGGGTCTCACATGTTGATTATGACAGACAACGTGGCCGCCAAGGCCCATGTCAACAGACAAGGTGGGACCCAATCCCAATCCTTGATGCGAGAGGCCGAATGTCTGGGGCGGGGGGCGGAGAGACACCTTCTGTCCCTCGGGGCAGACCCCATCTCGGGGTCGACAACATCCAGGGCGACTGGTTGAGTCAGACCAATGTCAACCACTCGGAGTGGAGCCTTCATCCATCCCTTTTCCAGGAACTGTCTGACAGATTTGGTTTCCCAGTGGTAGACCTATTCCCCAGAATGCGCAGGTAGGCAGTTTATTCACCAGATTTCTTACCCAGGGAGCAGAGGGGACCAATGCACTTCAGAGCAGATAGCCTTCAGGTCTCCTCTACGCCTTTCTCCCTCTTCCTATCATTACGGCTATACTTAGGAAGATATTAGAGGAGAAGGCAGAGCTGGTACTTCTGGTGCCTCATTGGCCCAGACGGCCCTGGTTTGCCGACTGATGAACACCGGTCGCTTGACCGTGGAGAATCCCGGCCAGCAGGACTTCCCACAGCCAAGGGGCCTTATTCCACCTGGAACCTCAGTGGTTCCAGTTGGCTGTATGGTGCTTGAGTGGAAATCTCTGAAAGAGACTAATCTACCAAATAAGGAGATTCAAACCATCCAAGCATCTCATAAACCATTGACCAATCGCATCTATGATGCTATTGGAGAACTTTCTGCAGTTGGTGACCCTGGACCCTACATCAGCATCTGTCTCAGATGTGCTGATATTTTTACAGGAAGGTCTAGATAAAGGGCTCTCACCAAACACAGTCCGCAGACAGGTTACGGCCTTGTCCTCAGTATTGTTGTGGGATAATTATACCTCTCTACTCCACCACTCATCAATGCGCAGGTTTTTGAGGAGAGCCTCAAATCTGCATCCCCCGGTAGTTTATAGATATCCCACTTGGGATCTCCCAAAGGTACTCCAGGCCCTGACAGGACCACCATTCAAGCCTTTAAGATTGGTGGGCCATCATTTTTTGACCCTCATGGTGCCCTTACTATCACATCGACAGGAGGATGCCGGAATTAGCAGCTCTCTCTGTGAGACAAGACTTGTGCATCTTCCACAAGAACAGAGTGGTGCTACGCTTAGACCCCATCTTTATTCCAAAGATCAATTCTTGGTTCCACAGGGCATAAGAAATAGTCCTACCGGATTTCTGCCCTAAGCCTCAAGTTAGAACACAAGTGACATACATTGGATGTACGGAGAGCCCTCCGTATTTATGTAAAATGAACTGCTATTTCCATAAAACGGAAGTGATGTTTGTGTCCTTCCAACCAGCTTTTTTAGGGAGCACAGCTTCCCCATCCATGATTGGGCAGATGGATCAGGGCTTGTATTTCCACTGCATACGAGACTCTATCTCTCCCGATTCCCAAGAATCGTACAGCCCACTCTTCTAGGAGTGCAGCCACCTCGGCAGCCTGGGCTACCCAGGCGTCCATTGAGGAGATCTGCCAGACGGCTACCTGGGCGTCGCCTTCTCCATTTATCCAGCACTATCGACTGGACTCCTTCACTTCTGCAGAAGCAGCATTTGGTAGGAGAGTGCTTCAGAAGATTCTTCCAGTGTCGGACTGAGTGGACCATACGTGGACCCTCCCTTGGACATTCAGGCTTTGGTATGTCCCATTCCGGGACTCTCGTTGCAGCGTGGAGGAGAATTGGCATTGGTATATTTACTTAATATACATGCTGCGAGAGAGTCCAGCCCCACCCTGTATTCGTCTGGTCTTGGTTGGGGAAGGGTCTTCTCACTATTTTATTTTCCAGAGACACACTACATCTGTCAAGTTTCTTCTCCTAAAAGCTGGGGAACAGCAGTAGGGGCTGGCTTTTTATACCTTTGGCAGACTCAGCTCAATAACGTAAGAGGGAGGAGTCTTACCCATTCCTGGACTCTCTTGCAGCGTATATAGAAAAGGCACCTCAGGTAAATATACCAATACCCAGGTTATTAAATACTTAAGATGATGTACCCATCTGTCAGCCTCCCGAGTAGACCAGATAAGAAACACAACCAGATGAACTAATTCTATCTTATTGTAGCGCTATATTAACAGAATCTGTTAATATGAAAGTATAAAAGCTCCAGCTGTTACTTTATACAGTCTGATAAATTAAAGCACATCCTTTCTAATTTTCTTTCTCTTCCTGTTATTCAGATGTGGGCATTCTGCTCTCCTTATCTGATCATTTCCTAGACAGCATCTCTTTTCCTCATGAACTAAACTGATTCTCACATGCTATTACATCAGAGGTGTCAAACTCAATTTCATTGAGGGTGGCATCAGGGTAGTCTTTGACCTCGGGGGGGGCAGGGGGTGTGTGGCCAGCTTGACGTCACTCATGTCGGGGGCACCTGTGGCAGCCCAAGTGCTCTGCCAGTGAAAATGGGGTCCCGAGCTCCGTTTTTGGCTGTGACAGGGTCTCCTGCAATCTAAAAGCAGCCCTCCCGAGCTCCATTTTCGCTGGCAGAGGCACTGTGGCCAGGCCTTTGCTGTTTCCAGGGTGGCCCCGCGGCTAGATCTAAGCATTCCATGGGCCGGATCCAGCCCGGAGGCTTGAGTTTGACACCCGTGCATTAATCACCTAAGAAAGTTTTGTTATCACCCTGGCAATAAAAGTTGTTGAGTACTATACAGTATATATTTAAGTTTATATATACGTTAGTTACAGATTCTGTCTTTCCTCCAGAAATTCAACGCAGTTTATATACTACTCCATTTAATTTTCCTCCAGAATCATATGAGATAGTTACATCGAGACAGTGACAGGTGAAAAGTAACCTAATGAACCTCCATGGCTGTGGTGGACATGAACCTGGATCTTCTTAATCCTAGCCTAACAAATTAACTTTTGCCATGTACTAATTTTTTTTTAAATAGTTTGCCTACTAACATAAAATCAATCTTTCTGGAGAAATACCATTTAAGGACTCACATTTCTTCTTAAAGTTATTCTCAGGTTTCGATAAATAAAACATCTGATTGTAAAAATACATTCTTTCAGTTTGCATGTAGTATTAATGTAAATTACTGGAATGAAAAATACTTCTTTTGATTGCAAATAAGGCTAACAAGATTGCTAAATTCAGATATATTAATGTTATTTAAGATAATATCTTAAGCAGAATGGGTTTTTTATGCAATATATATTGTTGTCAATTCTATGGTCATTAAGAAAGTGAAGTCATTTTGGGTCAACTTGCGTTTGATCTCATTTGTAGTCTTAACATAATGAGTACAGTTATTTCATTTTCTGTGTCTTATCTATGATAACTGTAGTGAGAAATTCCATGTGTGCTTACCATCTGTAAGAAAAAAAGAGTCAAAGGAATCTGAGTGGGTTTCTTATTCCAGTATTAAATTTAATGCACATGCCAGTTTTAGATGCATGGATTTTGTTTGGTATTGTGATTCAACTTTTCTTTCCTGTACCTTACCTTTTGCTGCTGTAGGTCACTCTAATATTAAGGTCTTCCTTAGTCATGGTGGTCTGAATAGCATTTTTGAAACCTTGTACCATGGTGTTCCTGTGGTGGGAATCCCTCTTTTTGGAGACCATTATGATACCATGACTCGAGTGCAGGCCAAGGGCATGGGTCTACTACTAAACTGGAAGACTCTTACGGAGGATGAGTTATATAATACACTGGTGAAAGTTATTAATGATCCCAGGTAAGAATTGTCTTTTCTTTTTAAAAAAAATTTGCTAAATTTTCAGTAAAATAAAGAACTTAGGGTAATTATGCTGTCCTAACCATCTACCATACAGGTAGTTCTCAACTTACAACAATTTGTTTAATGGAGGTCTGGAATGATGGTGGTATTAGAAAGGATATTTTATGGTTTGTAAAGCACTTTTAACTATCACAAAATGTTGCATCCCCACTTCTGCAATCAAGTGACTTGCAATTAGGGAGCTAAGCAACCTGTTTCTACTTATGGCTGGTCACTAAATCTTCCACGATCATGTGCCATTTGCAATCTTCTCTACCAGCTTTCCCAGAAAGTCAGTGGAAGGTGGCAAGTTGGCGCTGCCTGCTGAGTGGATTTTGGCAGGGGAGAGGCAGAGCAATAAGGAAAGGAGTGTGGGGTGCCTCGGGGGAGTTGAGGAGGCCCTGGGAGGATAGGTGCAGTCAGCTTGGAAGTGTGTCCCCATTCAGGGGCTCGGAATCCTGTCTGGATTTTGGCAGGGAGGAATTTCCACTCTTGAGCGGAGCCTCCCAGAATCTCCACCTCCCCCCAGGCACCCCATGCTCCTTATCTGAGGTTCTGCCTTCTCAACAACTTGCGGCATTGCTTAATGACAACAAAGTGTGCCGGGATTGCAGTTGCTCAGCAAAGCAGTCAGGAATATCTCATTGAATGACTGCTTTGCTAAACAACCAAGATTCCAGTCCCAACTGGGATCATAAGTTGAGGATTACTTGTGTAATAAATTATGTTTAATTTTGATAAAATAGTATGGGAATGTTAGAATTTAAAATGCAGCAATGTTCTTGTTATTATTATTATTTTTTAATTTTTATTTCATAGCTACAGGCGACAGGCCCGGAAGCTGTCTGAAATCCATAGAGACCAACCAGCTCATCCTGTTAATCGAACAGTCTACTGGATTAATTACATCCTTCGTCACAATGGAGCACAGCATTTACGATCCGCAGTTTACACTGTCTCTTTATATCAGTATTTCTTATTGGATATTGCCTTTGTTGTGCTGCTTTGTACTGCCTTATTCTACTACATTTTGGCCAGGATAGCAAAATTTATTTGCAACCAAAGCAAACATTTTTGGTCCACTGATGAACATATTACTGTCAATGGACATTACCAGAATGGGATACCAAATGGCAAGTATAGAAGAAATGGTCACATTAAACATGAAAAAAAGGTGAAATGAGCCAACTACTCAATGTACATTAGCAACAAATCAGTACTATAGTTAAATTTTATAGCTGTAACATAGTCTAACACCTACTTAAAGTAAAACAATAAACAGTTCTAATGCTCCCCTACAGTATGTAATCTTATGCAATTAAATTCTGCAGAACTAAGAAAAATCTTTAGAAAAATGAAGCACAACCTAAAATACATAAAGTATTTTATTCTTAATACTGATGGAGAAAGGTCATTCTGACACTGAAGTTTTCTAGAAGCCTTAATTCTCTGAAGTAATTCATTAGGTATATTCATGACTGCTCAATTTGTGAATAATATGTGTGTCTCAGAAAAGGAATAGTTTCCTTTTACTTACAAAGATTCTTCCTTTTTTCATGCACATTTATATTTTAGCAAAGAAATCTTGGTTCTATTTATCTAAGGTTTAATTTGTTATCTGACAATGATGTTAACTGAAGTCATCTTTCATAGTGTTCAGTACATAGCAATAAACAAACTGTAGAATTATAATGCAGCCATAAAAATCATATTCTTAAAAGGCATTGAAGAATATGATAACGATACACCATAGTTTTGATATACTACATAACTCTTCCATTTTCTTTCATTTCTTTAAAGAAAAGGAAATTGTACAAGAGTACCATAAGGTGTAATTTTATATTTATGTAAATTTTAGTTCTGTTCCTTTCCTTTCCCTAATTCATCATTTATGCCATAGTAAAGTTGTTCTCTTTCAATAACTACAAGGGCTATGTGGATATAATAAATCGATATAAAAATAAATGAAGCAGAGAAAAAAATATTCTGCACTGGCTCTTTGGAAAAGGATTATTCTTGTCCCTTGAGCAATGCAGAATCAAACCATTTTTGGTTTGTTATAAAGTTGAATGTCTTAACTATTATATTACTACAATTAAGTTTTTGCCCCCCCCCCCCAAACCATAATGTTTTAGAGGTTCACTTAGTTCTGTCTATAATCTTTACAGTAATCTGGTCCATGTAATACATGTTATCTAGTTGCCAACATCATTTATTTGAATCTAAAGGAGGTTATCTTTTGGTCAGTTACATTGTTTTTGTAGAGGTTTGATATCATGCATGACATTAAACCTATAAACTAGTTAAACACTGTGCCTCTGCCTATATCCGTAGCATTATTTTTCTGCACAATGCTTTTTCAATCACTGCAACCAAAATAGGTGTCTGTTTTTAAACAGAGAATGGGAATACAGGGCATTACAAATATTAGGATTGTCCCGTTAAACCAGTGTTGGCAACTATAAGTTTATTAAATTTCATTGTCATCCTGTTTACTTGGAATTTGCACTGCACATGTTGTGGGTGTATACTTTATTTATTTGCAGTTTGAAATCCCATGTCTGACAGCATTAGGAATAAAAACAAAAGCAAATCTAAACTGTGTATTCACTAACGTGGGAAAAGTTCTTAAAAACTGTAGACTAAAATCATCTTCATACACAGTGACATGATGCTTCATTACCATCCCATCAGGAGCCTCTATATTATAGCAATAAAGTAGAAACTGCAGATGCATTTCTAAAATTTAGTACAGGCATTTGTACTTTCCAGATACTTGAAGAGTATGGTGTTATTTAATATGCCTATAGCTTTATCTTTTTACAATCCTATCAATATGTGGCAACTGAGGGAACACAAAGAGGCAATGAGTGGTGGGAGAATGACAGAGCCTAGAGTGTATGAATGAGTTAGTTTTAATGTTTTTGTATTGAAGAAAGTATACAAAAATTGACCGGATGATTAAGAATAATTTAATCTCCACTGTGATAAAATTTAAGCAATAAACATGGATTTAATACAGAAAAAAGTTGTTGAAAGTATATCTTTATTCAAATATATTGTTGTATGTGTAATTAGAGCTGCACGTACTGTCTGTATATATGAATAATATATATTGTCCTAGACTTTTTCTCAGAAAATGAGAGAAGGGGTGTATACTTGTTTAGTATATGCATTCAGTGTCATTTTATGAAATATTTAATGTATTTAACAATTTGCCAGAAACATTTTCAAGTAACCTGTGGTTATCACCCATATTGCTCTCTTCCTTAGCCCCATTCCAATGATCTTTGATTCCTTTATGTTCCTTCAATTTAAACATATTGGATGATATTTTTTAAGAATGATGAATACCTATGGGGATCTCTGTTTTAAATAATGCACCACTTTGTAGAAAGCTTATTGCCATCTTATTTTTCAGATCTGGCTAATACGTATCAAGGGTTTATTTATTTTGTTAAGTGCCTTATCAAATGTTGCTATATCTTATAGCATTTTTAAATTTCAGAATAGCTCAGGAAGTATCTTAGGCTGAAACATAGTGGTTTGCCCAAAACCATTTCCAGAGCTTCAAGAGTGAGGAAGAAATTGAATCTAGTCTCTCATATCCAGGTTTATAAAATGCATTTGATTGCCTTGTATGTTTTGGTAATTAAAATAAATAGATATCTTTGAGCTTGCAAGCTAAAGATTCTTTGATATATTTTTATATCCCAGTTCTAAATAAATAATCAAAATACATTTTGGCATTTGATAATCTTTATGTGGTAAATATGCACAGATATTAGTTATATTTTTTTAGCTGTAAAATAGCAAAGGTACTAATAATTTTGCATCTAGTGATACTGTTTTGTATAGAGGCAAAAAATGAACCCAAGAACACATTTCTATTGCAGTTCATAGAGATCAATAGATTGTAGAATTATAATCCATATCAATGTACAAATTAGATATAAAAATCAATCTTCACTAATATTGACTTTCAATTTAAGATTAGCACTGAATATTAAAGTAACAAAATTCTGAAGGCCTTAACCTGAAGAGAACATAAGGTATATTTGTTAATTCAAATTGTTATTTTTTTTGTATTTATCATGATGATGTCTTCAGTTTACTGCCAATCAGATTTATAAAATTAGTATTTTGCTTGAATACCAAAGATGATGCTTGACAGTTTTATTCAGTTAATTAAAACCTAGTTATCTGATCACTTTTGAAGGTATTTATAATGACTAAATACAGTATAGAAGATGTTTAGTTAAATAGGAATGCCATTTACACTTTTATTATTAGCTCAGTAAAGATGTCAATATTTGTGAATTCAGAATGTTATCAGAAGTTAGTGTTTGGAGATGAAATTTGTTTAAAAATGACAACACATGCAACAATGGATATTTAAATGAAAATATTTGTATTTTTTTAAACAGATCAATAAAGAAACAGATTATAATCAAAGTATGAAATAACGCATGCAAAGTTACATGATCACATATACAGTGAAAAACATTTGTATCTTGAAGTGTGTTTCACTTTAATTATTTAATTATTTAGGAAAGGGTCAAACTACAAATGTGTGTTGTGTGTAAATACATAGATATATACGTACACACACATACATTATACACAGACACACATACCAGAGATTGGTATGAAGTATTTTAAGACTTTTTTTTAAAGAAAACCTTTCATAGCTTTATTGACTCAGGAAAAAAAAATATAAAGCAGAAATGGCAAAGGACAGACAATATAATCTGATGATACAAAAATAATGCACATCACAATATCACAAAATTAACATTGATATAAGTGGTTTGTATCATGATGTACATTTTATTACTTGTCCTGCACACATGATAGTATAGAATGCTATATTATTCATTGGGATAATGATATAGAAGATTTATACTTCTCTCATACAGCATTATCACAACACTGATAATCTGAACTTTAGTATTTGATCTGTATTGGGATTAAAGTAAAGAGGTTAGACTTTGATTCCTCTATGATGGTCCAATGAAAATTGCTTCCCACTGTTCCAATTCCTTCCTATCTCTGGATAAAATCTTTCATTGACATCAACACAGTTTTGTTAATTGGAAACAACAGATTATTTGATGGAGAGAATTGTAAGATTTATTTGAAAGATAGAAAAGAAAGGATTAAAATAATATGCATATGTTGCTATTAAATCCCAAGGAGGCTGATAATTTTTTCAAAATGCAATTTCAAAATGCATGTCATGTGTACTTGGGCCCACAGTTATTTAAAGTGCATTGAAAGTGTCAACAAATACTATCTGTTGACTTGACTATCTGAATATTCATGTAATATGTGAATAGTATTGATTTCCCACATTATTCCCCATCCCAAAACTTTAGCAGCAGTGATTGTCCCACTCCATTTTCCTTTATAGATGGCCTTGTATAAAATACTTGCATTGATTTTAGTACTCTGTCGAGCTACACAAGAATATTGTGCAATGTTTTATCAAATATGTATTTTGTAATCTGGAAATTATTGTTCCGACTTGCCTTGGAGCACCACATTGAAAAAACCTAATGTACTGAAGTGGAATATTTTTTTTTTTCTGGTGTGTTTATTGTTAATTTCTGACTGACAGAAGTCTTCCAAACCTGGGCTTGCTAAGAAACATGTTTTAAGTTGATATTAACATAACCGAAAGTAACAAATATACAGTGGATATAAAAAGTCTGTGCACCTCTGATAAATGTATTTATTTAGCGAATTTATGCCAGGTTTTTGAGATGTTAAAAAAATCAGACCACGACAAATCATTTCAGAATTTTTCCACCTTTAATATAAACTATAAGCTGCACAATTCAATTGAAAAACAAACTGAAATCTTTTAGAGAGAGAAAAATAAAAATGTACAATAATGTGGTTGCATAAGTGTGTCGCCCACTTGTAAATAGGGGTGTGGCTGTATTCAGAATTAACCAATCACATTCAAACTGATATTAAATAATCCGTACAAATCTGCCATCACTTAAACTAGGATTTTTCTGACATTTACTCAGTTGCCTTATAGAGCAAAAGTCATGGTTTGTAAGCTGTTTCCAGACCATGACTTTTGCTCTAAAGGATGATCATGACTGGAAGGTATCAGTCAGGAGAAGGATACAAAGAAATTCCCAAGGCATTGGATACACCATGGAACACAGTGTTAGCAGTCGTCAAGTGGAGAAAACACGGCACAACAGTGACATTACCAAGAACTGGATGCCCCTCCAAAATTGATGAAAAAACAAGAAGAAAACTTGTAACTTGTAAACCAAGGGACCTACAGCAACATCAAAGGAGCTACAGGAATTTCTGGCTAGTACTGGTTGTATACCATGTGAAAATAATCTGTATTCTTCATATGTCTGGGCTGTGAGGTAGGGTACCAAAATGGAAGTCTTTTCTTACAAAAAATAAAATCCAAGCCTAGCTACGTTTTG